GCATAAAAGTTGTTCTATCTAGGAAAATCGACTGATGGGCAGACTAAGGCTGTAGTTAAATGTTATTTAGGAATCCATATAGTATATAGCACCCAGTGCATTTAGAAAGAAATTAAGAGAGTGGTCAGTGTCAAATGATCAACCATAATTATCTTATTTATAATTATGTGCTTTATCTACAATATTATAATTCTAGTAACGTATCCCTCTATATATATTGCATGAGTACGCAACCCTTATGCAAACATTAGTGCTGTACACTCCTCCAGAATATGCTTATTTAAGAAACAAGAAGCCCAAAAAAGAGGATCCAGTGGATATAGATAACAACTGTCTAAAACCTTATAACCAAAAAGAAGAATATACTTGTGCAGCTCAGCAGAGCTCCGTATTTTATTCTACTTTTCCCCTCAAATGGAGCAACAAAACGACATATAACACAGTCAAAAAATGTAATTGATAGTCCAACTCTACAGGCATTATCAGACTTCCTAAAAAAGTGTGATGCTATAAAGACTACAAAATATGTAAATATTTTAAATAACCCACAGGAAAGCAACCTTGTTTTGCAAAAGTTACCTCCAGTTTTGATAGATAGATGGAGCAATATAGTACATGATTGAACAAATAAGCAGGATATCCACAATTAAGTGTCTTTAGTCAGTTCATAGAAAAGGAGGCAAAGAAAGCTTGTACTGCAGTATAGGAAGATACTGCAGTACAGGCTTTCTTTGCCTCCTTTTCTGCAGTATCTTCCTGTACTGCAGTAACGTTATATTAAAGACCCGACTGCATCTAAAAGGAACAGGGTTGGCAAGACAGAAGTAAATAAAGTTGGTACAAAAAGGTAGTTATTCTTAATTTGTTGGTGAATTGGTTGGTTTTGTAAATGATGGTTAATGCAACTGAGGCCAAGGAAAATGAGCTACAAAAAGAGAAATCTCATAATGATGGCAGCAAGCAGAGTACTAGAAGATTACACCGTATTTACTGAAATGAAGAACGTACATTGGAAAATTATAACAAATATAAAGCTAATGAAGAAAAAAATGGAGTACGTACAAGCTTCAAGACAACATTTTGGCATATAAAAGCTTTTATGTACATAGAGCCATGGCTCAAGAAGTTGTTATTAATAATGAGAAGGCAATTAACTTCCTCATAATACGAAATACAGCAAAGTAACTTATCAACCTTCGGCAAGTGAAAATAAAGTTTCTGCAATTTTTTGATAACAGAAACTGAAGATGGTATTTTATCTAAAATGAAAAGCTCAGATTTGAGAACAACAAAGGCTTAAACTGAAGCGAAAATTCAAAATTGACAAGAATTACCAAGATTACGTGAAGTTTGTAGAAAGATTAATGGTTAGAAGAAATAAATGTGCTAGACATCAAAGGTCATATAGCACTATGTTAAAGTATAGTGGCGAAAAGGGTAGAAATGAGTTAACGATTAGGATAAAATGCGTTAGATGTCAAGAGTTGTAGAGTACTATATCATAGAATGGAAGTGTAAAAGGTATATGGCGGGGGGGGGGGGGGGGGGGGCAAATGGAATACGGCGGGGATTTGTCGAAGGGGAAGGGGTTAAGTGTATAGGGCGATTAGATATAATGGAAAGCATATGCCTGAGGGATGGAGAGTAACACTGTTTGAGGAAGACTGCAGAAGAGTCATCATGAAACGACGGGTAATGCAGGTAGAAAAGGTAGTTGGAGAAGTAGGAGAAGAATCAAGAGAATGAGATAAGCGCGACAAGGGAGGTGGTGAAGTATCATGTCAAGAGGGGATCTGGAGGACATTTTTGTGACATAAGGGAATCACATGAGCATCCAGGTGGGAGTGGTAAGGATACTAGGGATGGAAGACGGGATGATAATGCAGATGGAGGAGAGGATAGAGGATATAGAGCAAATAGGAATAAATGGTTTGGAGGATGGGTCATGTTAAAGAACTTTTGGATGTATTCAAGAGTTTCTGGAGGAAAGTTGGGTGACGATGTCTGAAAAACAGTTTTTTTAAATGAAGAGAAGAGGGAAAATAAGTCTAAGGAACAGACGGAGAAGTGGGTGTAGAAGATAGGGTGGAACGTTTAGATTACTTGATGCGACAGGTAGAATGAGAAGGAGGAGGGGAAGTGATAGAGATTGGAATATCGGGATTTAGAATGGAAAAGGAATTTGACTGGGGAGAGAGGGAGTAGAGATAAGGTGGTTCGGGGCAGAGGGAAGAGATATTGGGAGAAAAGTTGAGACATCAAGAGAAGATGGGGAGGGAGCAGAGTGAAGTACAGTTTTAGAATAGGTAGAAAGCCTCGGTGTGCATATTTTCTAATATCGAGTTGAGTGAGGCCAAGTTTGAATAAAAAAAACTGCTACCTCAGATTCAAACTTGTAGGCAGGGTAGCTCCTGTAAAATACATAGGAGCCACCACAATTGGCACGTGCGTGACTGAGTGGAGCAATTTGAACGGTCAGGACCAGGTTAGCCACACAGTGGACAGGGGGCTGTGGAGCGACAGTGTTTAGCTGGGTGGCCAAAATGCCAACAATTCTGACATTGATGGGGAAGGAGTCGATGTGGTCGCACAGGGCAGGACACTTCACCAAGATATACTATGTAGCGGAAGCTAATATTTGCAATACACTGGACTGCCACTACAGCATAGTCGACAAGGCAGGCGAGAAGGTCGTTTTCACAATCTGACCCGTTCTTGTCATAGACAGGACAATCAATCGGGGAGATGGAAACAGTTCCGGTGCAAGTATTAGGGGAGGAGTGAGGTTGCATGTGAAGTCAGGGTAGATAGTGAACAACCTCGGAATGTAACTGTGAACAAATGCAACGACTGCGAAAGGAATCTTTGCCTACTTGCCTTTGGAGACATTGTTGGAAGGGAAACTTAATTACGTGAAAGAAGTATTTTGGACTGGCAGCAATGTAGTGCTTGGATATATCCTAAATGGAGCTAATTGGTTTCATATTTTTGTAGCTAGTAGAACACAACAAATCAGGGAGGTATGTTAAAGCATCACGAGGTATGTCTGTAAAATTTATGATAGAGAATTCCATGCGGTGGAAAGGGTCACAGTTTCTATAGCAGAATGTAGATCTAACACAAAATGTAGACGATGGCTCAGAAGTGAAGAATGTTTGAATATTTTTTTAGAGAGGCATATGGCTAAAAGAGCTATAGACTTCAGAAGAAATTCAGGGGCAATAGACAAACAAATGATCATGGGGCTAAAGGGAGAAATAGAAAATCCGTGCATATTCCAGTGAATTCTGCAGAAATGAAAGAAGCTGAACTCGAAATAATCAAACTCTAAACAAAACTGTTTTATGAAGAATGAACAGAGTGTTAATGGTGGTCTTGATAGTTTTAAAGAAAGGAAGTGAAATGTACGCGTTTGATCCATTTATAGATGATAATGAGATTATGAGAGTAGTTGGGAGGATTAGAAGAGCCCTTTTACCAAAGAAATCTCATGCCACTGACTTTATCGCAAGAAGGGGCATGACATTAAATCATATGAAAAACACTCTGGGTTTTGGACAATAGGAGGTTCTTCTCTTTGTGTTATATGCAAAAAGGTAAGGAGTTGTGCCCAGTAACAGAAAATTAGTGATCTTCCTAAAGACACTTATTCTACTGTTGGTTTCTTTGGGCCATTCTATGTAAGGGGAGGTCGTAAAGAACTGAAAAGATGTGGTGTATTGTTCACTTTTATGCCAATGACAGCTGTCCACTTAGAGACAGCAAACGCTCTCAGTACTGATTCAGGCCCAAGTATTCAGCTAAGATCAGACCAAGGGACACATATTATAGGTGCCAAAAATGAATTAGTTGCTAGTTTGAAGGAAATTAATTATAATAAGTTCAAAACTGATTAGTTAAAATATCATTGTGACGGGTTGAATTTAAGTTCAATGTACCTTCTGCTAATCATGTGGGCGGAATTTGGGAACGTTAAATCCGGAAATATACTCCCAGTATTATTAGATCAACATGGTTCCCAGCTAGATGATGAATTTATTATATTGTAAATAGTAGCCTAACATGACAGAGTTTTGGTCCAAAGAGAAGACAGAGTACCTACAGTCACTGCAAGTAAAAACTAAATGGATAAAACCATGCAGAAATATGCAAGTCAGTATACCGGCCATAAAAGGTGGTAGATCAGGTTGCACAGGGGAAACCCTTCGTCATTTGGTATTTGTTTATTCCTTGTACCCAATTATACGGCTATAATTTGATTTGATTTGATTGTTAGTGCTCCCTCACATAAACCTGAAACAAACACAAATTCTTCCTCTTAATCTCTGAGAGCTGCAACAAAAACTTTTGTTTTCTTCATACATAAAGAACCTTTTCATATAAGTCTTCGTTCTAATTTACAGAATAATAAATGACATCCCTTGATTAAACAAATTATATATTTACCTATAATCTGTCTCAGTGACCGACTGCTTTTACAGTTGACTTAAAGAAAATGGGACTTACTAGGTAGAACAGAGAATGTTATACAGGGATAGCTCAATTATTATTTGCTTTTTAACTTTACAAATTTACCTTTGGTTACGAAAAGCAATACAAAATAATCTGAATGTATTTATCACTTAAATTGCTTCTCTAAATTGTGAGAGCGATTTATCTCTAGTTTGCTACTAAGGCAAACTAATCTCTAATTACTAGTTTACTCATTTGATGTCATATATTATGTAAATATCAGAGGATGAATTGTTTCACCTATACAACCTGGTCTACCGTCTTTTGTGGCCGGTACAGGTTTACATGGAGACTACAGGTATATGGTGTATTGGCCCAGACCCAATTGATTAGATTTTGGTGATAAACTTTATCTTTGTCATTATAACTTTGGTTAACATTCGTGTCTGTTTTTCATTGTCTAGAAACAATATCCCTTAAGTTTTTTATAGGGATGCAATACATGTGGTAAATCAAACTGGATGGACAGGATTGCAAGAAAACATGGGTAATTTTTATTATTATTTATAAATTATGACTTCCAAAAAGAGAGCAGAACGAAATAAGACGTTAAATGTGAAAATTGATTAGATTATTCCAGATTTTTAGATACCAAAATACACTAATGCTCGTTGAGAAAGGCAGTTCTAATAACTATCTATGAAAGAAGAAAAAATGAAGGAAAGCTTCCTTTACAACTATTTGGTGTTGTTGTTGTTATTTTAATGAATGGGAGAAAATCATATTCACTGCGGGGGGAAAACATATATAGCCAAAGAAATGGAAGAAGCAGAACAAATATAAATACTTAAATTTTGACCTTTGAGATAGTTTAAAGCAAAAACACAATCAGCCGATGGGCGGAAAAAATAACAGTTGATGATGAACATCTTTACAATAATAATAGTTATTTGTTTAATAGATAAAAACTTTATAAATACTCCCCGAACATGTCAACAGAAATGCAAATCATTTTCAGTGACTAGCTTCCGTCTAAAAAGTAATTGCAATCAGTATGAACTAGCTTGACCACCGTAAAGTGCTTCCCGGTATTTAGTGTCTTATCACTGTTCTATAGGGGGAAAAAAAACAGCGAACATTATTGTTTTCACACTTCCGTCAAAGTGAAAAAGTGTTTTGCAACTAAGGAGAGAGACCATGTGTTTAGCACTGCAACAAAAACATTCAACTAAACAAGTTAACAAGTCCAAAACCACTGCTATCCTAATATGAAATACTGACTGGTCTTGCATACAACATTTGTATTTGAAATACTTTATTTCAACACGAAAACATAAAGTCGCTTTGTGTAGGATTGTAACTCAAGATAATTATATACTTGGGAATAGGTACGCATACCATACAACCAGACAATTTTCCGTATATACATTCCTATTTACACTTCTGGCTATCGTTAAGCCAAATATCTTAGTCTCTCCCCCATACTACCATTTTCTTTGACGATGCTTCACTAGCGACGTTTTCTATTAGTACGTTTTCTTCAACTTTCTGCCCTATTCTCATCTATTTCTGAAATCGCCACAAAATACTTTTTTTAATTTACTTTGACAATGATACCCAATGTTCCATGGCATGAATTAGTAAATAGACGATATATATCTGTATCTATATCATTCTATCCAACACAATCTATGCTCTATGCCAGGCCATCAAGTGGGCACACAAACTCTAAGCCTGCTTTCACACTAAGGTGGTACATCGCTCGTGGCCATTTGAAAACGAAACAACCGTCACACAAAAGTGGAGTGGCACGTGCGACGTTATTTTTTAGCGTGAGGCCTGCCACCTTGGAGGCTCGGACTGTTTTCAAATTTTATTTTCTTACATCTAAAGTTATTATGAGCCAATATCATGAAAACTGTTAAAATCAAATAATATATGATACAAAAATGAAAACTTCTGAAGGTATGACACACACTGAGTATTTTTGTGTTAAGAAAAATTTCCGCCAAACACTTTTGACACAATGCTTCGGTCACCCAGTGAGCAAGGCTTTGGAAGAGTGGGTAATAACGCGAAGTCTTGCAGAAGGAAACATTGCGATGTGTGCCTTCTCTCATGCATAACTATGTTTCTTCCAGACACTGAACCAATCAATATAACATGTTTGTATGATAGACCATCACCTCAGTACAATACTCTCCATGGTACAATTCTAAAAAAAATGTTCAGTTTGTGAGGAAAAAAATTTTTTATAAGTATTTTCATTAGAGCAAGTGTGTTCTACTTTATTCCTCCTAGTGGCAAATGGATCATTGTCACAAGATTACTTAGAACTTTGGACAACAATAACATCGTCAGCCTCCGATAATGCCATCTTGTGAACCGAGTGACACCCGCCACGTGTAACCGTAACCTAAAATAATTTGCCAAGTGCAATGTGTAATGCTATGTGTAACCTTGGTGTGAAAGCAGCCTAATTAGACTGGTGGGCACCGATGCCATACCTTATGGCTCTGGCATAAAAAAAACACAATGTAAAAACTAGATTTATTGGAAATGAGACAACAGTTTCGGAATCCACCTGGATTCCACCCTCAGGATGGAATGGATGGATGGAATCCAGGTGGATTCCGAAACTTGTCTCATTTCCAATAAATCTAGTTTTTACATTGTGGGTTTTTATACCAGTTTCAACACGGTAGAGTGTTTTATTCATTCTTATGGCTCTTGTGAGAAACAGTACTTCAGGAAGATAAGATGCACGAGTCTTTCAGAACAAGTACAATATAATTAGAGAAATTACATCAGTTCGTCTTATCTTTCGCTCCGCTGATGTTTTCCCGTACACTCCCTTACAAACAAGCTGCCCATCTACAGCCGAGACAACCAAGTCTCCTCGCTTTCCACATCCCTAGACTGCTCAATTATTACGACTATTGCCCTACCCTTTGACCTAACTTTACCAGTTATTATTTTTTTCCATCTATTTTCTGTTTCCTTGGAATGCCAGCTGTCATCCTTAAGTTTCTTTAAAGCAATGGTGCA